TCTTTTTATTTTTAATATATTCTTTTATCTATTTTTATTTCAGTCACATTACTGTTCACCCATTTATTTTAAACACACTTTTAGTCATTTAATTAATTTTAATCAAATTTTACTCATTTATTTTAATTTTATTTTTGATTTAATTTAATATTTTTTAATTATTAAAAAATATATTATTTATTTAATTTTATATTTTTGTTATCTACTTTTATTCGTTCTAAACAAATTTCTATTCATTCTTTTGATTAAAATTGCATTGTTGAAATATATTTTAAAATTTATTTTAATCATTTTTATTTACTTTAAATATTTTTATGTATTTTATCTTTTTATTTTAATATATTCTTTTATCTATTTTTATTTCAGTCACATTATTGTTCACCCATTTAGTTTAAACACACTTTTATTCATTTATTTTAATTAAATTGTAATATTTTAATTTAGTTTTTCTCTAAACCTTTCCCCAGTTTGAGAGCCCCTGTGTCATCTTCATCACATTGAACTGAAGACTTGTTAATATGTAAAGAAGCGTGTTTCTATGTTAATGAGCTCATGTTTTGTCACACAGAACATAATCAGCGTTTATTTCTCCGCAGGTTTGTGTTGAGGATGGAGTCGGCTGTGGAGGTGCAGAGAGGCGCTGCTGCTATTAAAGAGCAGTATGTTTGTATTCTGATCAGCTCCTGATAATCCCATATTTACAGAGCCTCGTGGCTGATGTGTGTGTATCTGCGTCTCACCAGGTTCCTCACCACTAAAGAGCAGTTCCACGAGTTTCTAGCGTCGGGCCGGCCGCGTCAGAGCACAGATGAAGCAGACGGAGACTCGGAGGAACCCTCGGGAGAACCGGAGCAGAAGAGAGTCAGACTGGACAGTGACGGAGACAAGAAGAAGAAGAAGAGAGGACAGAATAAATCCAGACCTCACGTCAAACCTCAGAGCTATGAAGACAGACGACTGTGTCCCTCCATCGTTCAGGTGCACACAGCATGATCATACTCTTGCTTCTTTAAAATATACTTTGAGGTATAGTATGTATTGCATAGTATATATATATTAATTAATTAATATTTTCTCTTACAGTATGTCTAAATAAAATGTTATATTTAAATACAAGTTATATTTATTAATAATAATATAAGTTATATTTATATTATTATTTTATTTTTCTACTCGTAGTACTGTACTGTTTATGTTTTTATTTATTTTAATATATTTTTTATTTTAATCTAATTTTATTTAGTTTAAGTTTTGTGTATACATTGATTTTATTTGCACATTAAATGTCTGAATATTTGGGTGAAAAGTTACATTTATTTGTTTTGTTGTATTTCGTTTGCTTTCATAATATTTTTAGTTATTCATTTAGTTGCACAGTATGTGTCTTAATATTATTTGGAAAATATTTAGTTTCTATTAAGTTTAATTTATTGTTACAGTTATTTATTTTCATCTATTTTTATTTACTGATTAGTTTAGTTACACAGTATATGCCTAAATATTATTTGGGAAATATTTAGTTTATATTAAGTTACATTTATTTATTAATATCTATTTTTATATTAACTTATTTAATTTATTCACATAAGATATGTCTAAATATTATTTGGGAAACATTTAAATTTTTTCTGCTCTTTTTGTACTTTCAGATTTATTATTGGCTTATTCATTTAATTATTAAAAATAGTAAAATTTTTATTTATTGATTTATTTAAATATTTGTTTGATAAAGTAAATACTTTCACCATTAATTTTTTTTAATAATAAAAATGAAAAAAGAGCAAACTATATATATATACATATACATTTAAATACATATACATATATATATATAATGTTAAAAAAGATGAATAAATACTGTAACAAATGTATTAATGCAGTGTTTTCTCATCTCTTATTCTTCTTTTCTCTGTGTATTTCTTCTTTTATTGTTTAAAGTGCTGGTCTTTGTTCACTTAATTGTGTTTGTTGGTTAAAACATTAATAAAATAGATGCAATAAGACCCCAGTTCTCTCGATGCTGACTTGCATTCATCAGAAACGTGTGTGTGTTCCAGGAGCGAGACACGAAGTGCTTCTACGGTGAGAAGTGCCGCTTCCTCCACGACGCGAGCGAGTACATGTCCACTAAAGCGGCGGATCTGAGCGATCAGTGCTACCTGTTCAACAGCTTCGGCTGGTGTCAGTACGGCGTCACCTGCAGGTTCGCTAAAGCGCACACGAGCCCCGAGCTGAAGAACCTGAGGAACCAGGATCTCTGCAGACGCTCCACAGACACCGTCAGAAACCTGCTGGACAAAGAGCTGCAGAGACGCCTGCGGAAGAAGCAGGAGAGGTTCCCCGGAGCCGAGGCGTACCTGAAGACCGTCAGCCGCGGAGAGAAACCTGCATCGAACCGGGAGGAGAATCTGAGCGGAGCGGGACACACACAGGTACAACATCACTGATCCATCCTCAACATCAGCATCTAAACACACTCTATTCTTACTCACATTTATGCAGATTTGTCACTCTAAACTACGCAAGAAACCTGGTGACGCCTCTGTCCACGTGCAGTATTCAAAACAAGCAACAGAAAAAGATGAAGAGTTCAACCAATCAGAGCGCTGAGATGCAGAAATGCCTGCATCTGAAAAAGCTGCAACACACGCCGAGCATCTTCCCTTGTAATGACTAAACCTGTTGTCCAGCAACAAAAAAGAACATTATAGCATTCTTTTACTGCACAACATCAGACAAATATTTAAAATAATTTCCCTCTTGATCTGATGTGGCTTCTTATCACAGAATGACGCAGAAATAAATTCTACACTGGAATAACGGCTAAGTCGATTAGCAGTGGATTATAAATATAACGTTACTTAATTAAAATTAGAGCCCGACCGATACATCGTTTAGCCGATATTATCGGCCAATATGAGCCTGTCGCCGATATATCGGTATCGGCTAATATGCCGCCGATATGAAATGTTTTTTTAAAGAACATAAAATGCTTGAAATGGTGTAATTACTTAGTTTGTCCAGCAGAGC